TACTCGCATGCATTTTGGCACGCTAATTCGTGTCCATCAGCGCACGCTCGGAAATCGGACCAGCGAGGTCCGACCTAAGACAGCCTCTGCAGCAATCCAAGTACACTCATCCAGACTGAGGTAAACCGAGCGTTCCTTTAGCTGCCACACCTTACCGCATGGTCACACCCTTCGCCTGCAGCAACCGTTTTTGCGACATACCTGCTGAAGCTCCAGGTCCAACCGGGCGGTGTGGGTTCGGGTTACAAATATGCCTCTCTCTCTTCCAAGGATCGCGGTTTCATGCCCGCTTCTATCTACCACATAAATGGTCTCGGCTTTTCAGCGTCAGATCCAGCTACTTCACAGCCTATCAGTGCGTATCGTGTAGAGCGCTCGGCTAAGTAGACGTGCACGAAGACCTTCATTTTGGCAGCGAGTGGGAGTCATCGAGGAAATTCGGCGTTACATTCCGCGCAATGAACCAAGCGACCAAATACTATCTCCCATGCGCTGAAGGTCGGCGCACGAGTGCCCTACCAACTCAGTGGATCACATCGACACTAGACGTAAGATTTTGTTTGGCGAATGGGGTTTTGCTCCCTGTTTTCTTGTTCTGGAAATTTACGTACGGCAAACTTTTTGTTCCAGCATGAAGCCAAATTTCCGCCCTGTTAGTACCCAAACAACACTTGGTTAACAATCCATCTCTAATTAGCTAATCCCAGCTCACCATACTGCCAAATGTGTGCCATATTGTGCATAGGGTTGCAGAATAGAGGGATTCGCTATGTACTCCATGCACTTCGTAATTACTCCACTTAGACGCAGTTAGATAATTTAATGGCGCCGGTTAACACCGTCTGCCACCGCTATACTTGTAAGCAATTCACTGCAAGCTCGCTTTTAGGATGAATTCCACTGAACGCACAGGAGAATCGACTTCATCCGCACTGATGCGGTTTAGCACTGCTTCTGACCTGGTAAAGGGAAGGCTGACCTAGGACACAACATCCCGTTTCAATCTGTCAGAAGATTGTAACCCTTGTCCGAAGAAGACCTTTTAGAGGCCAGGGTAAATAAGTGACCATCTTAACAACGGATACGGGCAGCCGATTTGCAAGTGGCTCAGTTACCGCGAAGAAACTTAACTCGATCCCTGTGAGGAAATAAGGAAGATTCTATTTGCAAAACGCGTTTTACTGACGATAGGCAACTGACGGGGGGAACTCCACCCAAAAAAGGAGATATTAACTAAACGACCGGCCTGCTTTGTATGACAAGATATGAAATTCCGGGGAGGAGGGGGGAGGTGCTCAGAACTCGGTCTCGGCGTTCAGGGTGCGTGTTTCGGTGAAGCGCTTGAAGCGTTCAATGAGGTCTGTCACCTTGTGCTCACCCAGAACTTTGTTGTCACGAGTGCGCACGTTTACAGTGCCGTTGGCTTTCTCCTTCTCACCGACAACTAAAAGGCGGAAGAAAAAAAGGAAAGTAAGAAGCAGGAGATGACGTCTGCACTTATCGTGCACGCGGAAGACGGGCGTGCAACTTACCAAGGATGAAGTTATACTGGGACAACTGTCCATTCCTGATCTTTTTATTGAGAGTGCGGCCCGGGTCGGTGTCAATGGACACCATGAAGTGGGCCTCGTGAAGCTTCTGCTGGACTTCTCGGCCATAATCATCAACGGCGGATACAACAGGGATCACAAGGACTTGACGAGGGCTAATCCAGAACGGCCATTTGCCTAAAATTGATACACGGGGTACTTATGAGGTAATCTGACACCAAGATTGGGAAAGCAAGACAATGGTCAGTCATTCGCTGTCAGCAACGGCAAAGGTGTTCAAACAGAAGTTTATGAACGGAAGCGACCGCGTGAACAGTGATTGTCAATACGAGCCGACCAAATTAGTCAGTGTCGCGCGGATGTGCCACAGAAAATTCTATTTATCTAGATCCCATAAACGCTCTATTTCCTGAGGTATATGTTCGCGACTAGCTGGAGCGCTAGTGATCACGATAATTGAATACAAATTCAAGAAACCTCAGTTTTTATAACAGGAGTACAAAGCTGCAAGAACAGCAGGCTTGGGCTTGTGAAATGAAGGCTGCAACATGGGTCCGTAGTATCGACCACGTGGCGTAATGTGGACAGTAATAACGAATGAATACCGGCTTAGTAGTTAATCCTGCAACACTATTAAATAAGTATAAGTCCTAACAAGAAATATGGTCGACAAAAGGCAAATATATGAATGGCAACAGCTTGGACGTGAAGAAACCCATCCCGTCGTTTTTGGGGCTTGATTTAGAGGCCTGTGGAGAGCCTTGTTACGGTTGCGATCATGACTGATCTAGCCACCTAGGCAATCGCGTGGTCCATTCAAATATACGTAGAGGGAGACTACTGACAAAGACAATAGAGATTGGGTTTCAAACCCGGTGTTGAATATGGCTGGCTGATGAGGCCAAAAATAACCATGCAGATCTCCAGATAGGTTTTACAAAGAGCATCCTCAGGGACCTATTTGGTATTCTTTCTTTTTACTATACCAAAAAATACCGTCACACACGTCTAGGAATCAAAATGCAAATTTAGAAAACTGCTATCAGAACCAAAAAAGTAAGGGTAATGCGACTGGCTAATCAGCAACGCACCGATTGTAGAGCGAATTGAAGAAAGCAACACTAAGATATAACGAAGTAAGCTAGAGAACATACCGGCAAAATGTTCAACCAGGATTGCCATGCAGCGCTCGACAGAACCCAGGATGGCTCGGTGAATGATAACAGGGCGCTTTAGTTGGACATTAGGAGCTTTTCCATCACTTGCATCTCCGGCGGGTGTGGCTTCTCCGTCGCTAAACAAAAAATAATCCGTTGAATAACAAAGTACACATTAGTAAAACACGGGGATTCGAGAAAGCGAGTTGTGCAGCGAGAGTAAACGACATGACAACGAAGGAATGCCTTACAGTGCTGCCGCAAAGTCGTGTCCGCGTGGATACCAGAACTATGTACGCCAACAAAAACATATTACTCATAAAAAATCTAATGCGAGGTCCCCTTCCTCAACAACCTGGTATTTCAGTTAGACTCGACATCGAGCACTCGGACGGCTATCATGAAGCCGGAAGATTTTGAAAGGAGTACATATTCGGCTTTTTGATTTGTCGGTGACATGTGAGTGCATTAAGGACTTGCACACACATTTAATCGATCGATACTACAGTACACATGCCCCCCGTGGCTCCAGAAAGCTAAATGTTACAGCAGGCCAGCTGACGATGCTCTTCTTTCCAGTGCACTGACAACCGATAGCTGCCAAAAACAATTAGTTGTTCTAGACGTGCTCAAAAATAACGCCACCTGCAAGGTTTTTTCTTTTCCAATAGGAGGCAGGCCCTCCTTCGTCATCATACGTCCCATTTATCTGTAAGTACACAGCGATGCTCAAGACTGCCCAGAGTAATTTCTGTTATTTAAGGTTACGTTATGATTCTATTAAAAGCAATCGTGGAAGAGGTTCATAGTACTTCAGAACAAATTCGCTCGGACGCGAGAAAGGCCACAATGCTGTAAGGCGACATTTAAAATTACTAAGGGGAGAGCATCGGCAGATTTTCTTCTGATGTTCGGACATTAAGACGCATGACTCACTGCAAAAGTGACTCAGTCCAAAAGAGGCAAACACCAAGCTGCCACCTCTCTTCACACTGTCA